TCGTATCACATCCTGTCATATCTTAGCAAGTATTGCACTACAGCGCTATTGGCAATAGAAATTAAAATAAAAAAATATGGATAATACCGTTTGCTCATCGAAAATTATTTCTTGAATTGAATCCAGTGACACTATTACGAGCAAACATACATATGTATGTACATATAATAGTCGTAATAAATAAATGCAAATTTAATAGACCGTTTATGAAGCTCTATCATTGTATAATGCAATTTTTCACAAAAATGTATTGTTCGTGATGGATCTTCACGATTTTTTTTCTACGATTGAATCTTTTCTATGATATTGTGTATAAAAAATAATTAGATATCATAATATCAAAAATTAATGTTCCTTGAAATGTTTCAAATTTTATACAAGATGAGTCTTTTAAATAAAAACATATTTTTTTGTTTCATAAAAACATATATTATAAAAATATATATTTTGAAGAAAATGTTCAAGATAAAGTTGCAGTATTTTAAGGCACATATTTGTTGATAGTGGAAAAAACCTTTTTCAAAGTCGTTTTTATATTTCGAAATGAAAGTGATGGAAATTTAATATTTTTTGTCGATATTCTTATGCAGCATAAAAATTAAAATTTAATCACCTGAATTTCATTCCAATCATTTAATCTAGAGAATTTTTTTTCGGAACGAAACGTTTATTAAAAGTTGAATCACATTAAGACAGTTGGGATATCTGTTACAGTTAAGCGATCACAATAATCTGTCATTCATTCATGCGAGAATTAATATAAAATAAATATAAAATAGATTTGCAGAATGATTTTGTAAGATAAATTCTATGATTGACATATATTCGAAGGAGTTACAGTTCGACTAAATTGTTCGAGAACTTGCATCGAATTTCTCGACTGCCCTTTCAGTCTCTTGCTAATTATCGTTTTGTTTGACATAAAGCAGCAGCCTTGTTTCTTTTACATGCCGTGTTTATGGCTCTACTACCATATAGATTCTGCAGTATACTACTGAATTTCTTTACAATTTTATTAAGAATTTAATGACATATTTTATCATACTTTATTGAAATTTTATAAGAAATCAAAATGATATATTCTCATTGAGAAATGCTCATTTTCATTCTCTTCAGGGACAGTTTAGGATTTCCTAACATTTTTGTTTCACCGATTGATTCTATCCATGAAATAATAAAACTAACGGAATAGGCTGCACGATTAGAGTACCTGCACGTCTCAGAGTCTTAGATATTCGCTCAAGCTCGATTAAAATTATCCGATTAAATTCAACTCCAAAATGTCAAATTTTTGCACCTGATAATTTGAACAAATTTTTAAAATAATTAAAAATACAAGTCTTATAAAATTGTAGAAAAAATCATGTAACATTTTATTTGAATTTATTTTAAAATATAAAGCTTTTTCTTTGTTTTTTTTTTAAAGATATTTTTACGTCATGTAGCAAATGAAATATTAAAGAAATTTCTATTCTCAAAATTGTAAAAATTCAAATATTTTTAAAAATGTTGAGAATTTTTTTCATGACTGGAAATCCACCATAGAAAATTTAAATTTCGTTTGTTTTCAATGATATCTTAAAAGTACTGTAAAGAAATTCTGTAGTATATAGAATCAGCTAATAAATCCTGCTAATAGGAGAAGCATAAACATAAATATAAATGCCGAAGAGATAAGACTACAGTCCTATGACAGAGAACGATAACCGGTAGGAAAGGCTGAACAGGCAGTATGAACTCGAACGATTCTCGAACGATGAGCCGTAACTCTTTTGAATAATATATATAATTTTATAATTATTCCTTACATTGATGTATAATTTGTTTCACCATTCTATTAAACTTTGATCACTAGGATTAGACGACGAAATGTTAGGATTTCTCGAATTTTTACCATTATATTAATCTATACATTGGTAATATTTATATACGAATTTAATGTATTTGTTAAATTTCTAATGTCTCAAAAATTAGCCGAAGCTAAAATTTTATATTTGAGGTCTTCGACGCTTCTCTATAGTCCCTCTAAATGTCCGTCTGTGAAACCTTTCGAAATTACAGCCCAATTAGCTGAATCCCAGTACAAAATAAAGATATTGTTTCAATTGATCCATTCCCCTTTTCTGAGATGATTGTCGAATTCGAGAAGATAACTCTTCTGATTGTCGAATTCGAGAAGATTAACTATTCTGAAGATAATTTTATGATATATATCTAACGTATAAAAAACAACGAAAGACAGAAAATGGTATATGAGATAAGAATTACATGGTGACAGTGTTCTCGGCTACTGTTGTCCAGAGATAGATGATTTATACGTATATATGAATGTATTTGTGCCTGTTGAGAGTTGCATTTGTGTGTGATTTTGTTTCTAGACCAAGCATGGGCAATCTTTCCTAGTTCGGGGGCCAAATTATTATTTTGTCTCCGAGTCAAGGGCCGGATCAAATTATTAAATAAAACAAACTAATATTAAATGGATTAAAACAAGTTACTACTTCATATTCATAATGCTTTGGTATAAATTCTACATAAATTTTATATCTCTGTTTTTTTCAAAAGAATTGCTGTTGTGACGATTTGTCGCAAAGTTGTCTGTATCGGGCATAACGTTAGCTGCTAATTGCTTGTTCACATTTTATATAATATATATAATAGATTTCATAAAATTGAAGGTTTCTGTTTTCCAAACAGAGAATTTTTGATATTTCATATCTTTGGAGTTTCACGTCCTTCAAATTTTATCTCAATCGGTGGCCATTTAAAACTGAATAAATATGTAATAGTCAAAATAATTTTGCCAATCAAAATAACTTTAGGAAGTAATTTAGTTAGTTAAAAATTATTTTTAAAACCAATGAAGTATAAATAATTGTACACTCAAAATGTATATTAACATTAAAACACAGATAGAGCTGTTTGTGATGTACATATAATATAAAACGGAATAATTTTAGATATTGATTTATATCGGAATCTGGAGGCACAGACGAGATATGTATATGTCTGAAGATATACAATTGATTATAACGGATATCATTTTACTTAATCAGCTTGTATCATTTTGTTCAACATAGTTCTCCAATTCACCATTGTTTAAGCATAGAGTGCGCTAAAAAACCAAATTTTTTTCCTCGTCTATATTTATAATCTGAAACACAAAACCCCATTGAGTGTTCAGTTTATAAATCAATAGTATAACGTATATAGAGGATATATAGAAGAAGAAGAACGCTAAGGGAAGGGGAAAAAATTGCTATTATTTTATGATTATTTTATGATTTTGTCTCTACGAAGAATACCTAAGAGTATCTATAAAAAAATCTATTGTTTGTCAAAAATAAACTTAGAAAACTTACAAAAACATCATATTATACAAAATAAAAATGATACAACATCTATTTATTATATCGAAATAAATTAAATAAAAATATTTAATAATTGTTTATAAAAACTGATTTCGATGATTTTGTAATATATAATGTAAATGTAATGGCACATTGTTGTCATTCTAACATAAATAGATTAGGTAGCACGATAACGTAAGAAATATTTTGTTGAAAATGAAATATGAGGCAACAGATACGAAAGTCACATGAATAACGGATCATTCAGTAGTATATAGTAAGCTACGCTATTGCATTCCCGAAGAAAGTGAATCGCGATTCTTGTTACACAACTGTGAATTCCCTGATTTCCTGGTACGCGCCACACCGATCCATTTCCAACGGATCTTAGAGGCTTGGCAAAAAAATTCACAAACAACGAAAGTTCCTCTTCACGGTTTACTGATTCATTCTCCGTCTGTCTGCCTGTTAGATATACTGATATTTGAATAGGCTCCAATATTTTAACTATCCAAACTAAATTTATTTGCACGCAAGAACTTTATATCGTCAAGGTTGCGTAATTTTAGATAGTGCCAGTATTTATTTTCTTGTGATTTAGTTGTGAAATTACATAATAGTTAACAGTGTGATGACATCAGGATTGTATAAGTATATAATATATAATTGTGATGACATCAGTGTGATGATATCAGAATTGTATAAGTATATATATATAAATTCTATCCGCTTCAAAGAGGAAAATACTTTTTTTTAATTTTTTTCGAACTGAACTTACTCCTACTTATCATTTGCGACGGTGTAATATATTTTTCTTATATCAATATGATATAGCTATTTCATTTGCCAAATATGTGTGATTCAGTAAGATTCAGTAAGATAAATAAAATTTACTTCACTCTGGTTGGCATTCACCGAAATGGTTCACGGCCGCCATTAATACAGGAAGTTAAATCAAAAAAAGTATATTCGACCTTTATTATACGCTTTTACCAATTTCAGATTTTGCGAGTCGTAAATCGCATCTTGAATTGTAGACAGTCGATGATTGTAATTCGGTCGTAAAAGAGGACAGACAGTGGAGCAAAAAACGAAGCAAAAATAACGTAACGTGGTAACGTGTAAAACTATGTCAAGTAAAAGCGGATGTGCACACGAATGAGTCACTCTTTCGTGGTTTCATCGTCGGAAAGTTTTGCAATTTCGATCAGTATATCGTTTGACTCGATAGGTATAACATCATCTGTGAAATCAAAATGTATCGATAAGACACGGTTGTTTTTTTTTTTTCTCATTTCTTAATCAGTCAGTATTTCTACAATAGTGATTCGAAAGTAGATAATGATTGTTATATTCTAATGATTATCGACGCGGAAGTTAATAAATGGCAGATAAAAGTAGAAAGTAGTACTGCCAACGGTAAAGTGTCGATTGAGAAAACGTCAAATGTTCCTCGTTTTTATAAAAAAGATCGATCGTTTCGAGTTGAAATATCGTTGAAAATATTGTAATAATGAAAATCTAAGCGATGATGGATGGAAGAAAAGATTTTTAAATTGACGTCTTTAAATTACGTGTACGAGTAATTACCTATACAAATGATTTTTATGCTAGAATATATAGATATACTCTAGTATATATATGTAGATCCTATTTTCGACATACATGTACGTATACTGCTATTTAAAAGTAAAAATACGTACCATTTTTCTAAACTAATTCTAGATTGGATAAAAATGAACAATTAACATTTACGAAAATAGTGAAATCAAAAGTGTAATATACAATCTTTTTACAGAACGCTTCATCTTTAAATTAAACTTGAAACTTTATGAAGTACACGTGTACGAAATTAAATTTTAATCAAATATATCTAACTCTATTTTCTTAAAAATGAAACCTTAAACAGGAAGATTTTATTTTATATTTTTTTATTTTCACAGGTAGATAACTTTCGGATTATTCATTCTTGTTCAGTCTAAATTCAAATATATTTAACAAATTTTTAAACTCAATTTTCTCGAGAGTAAAGCTTCAAATAAAAAATTTTATGACAGTAAACAATATTTCAAACTTATAAAAACGCGGTTATACAAACAATTATTAGACATGTAACTGTTAAGAAGATACAACTATTCTTTATTATTATTAATAAGAATCAATTATTAAGTAAATATTTTTTAAAGAACAGAATATTGACTAGAATTCTAGATAAAATTTATTAATTCTATATATGTATGTTTTAGGTAATTATAAAAATAAAGAAAATGTCCGCATGCTTTTCAGCGATAATGTATGTTATAAGTTCGTTATTATTGGTCTTTCCGAAAAATTTTGAACATTACGTCACCTATTCCTGGTAACTTAGTATTCACCGTTCCTTATCTACGCTTATATAAATTCTCGCTTGATTACACTTACTGTAATCCTTCCACATGCGGCAACGCGCATTTTCAGTAATACATTATTTGAAAAAAATATTATCATTTGCATGGACGATTGAAAGAAAGAATATACTTGTCTATGAATTCACAGTACCAGAGACATGCAGTATAACGAAGAGGAAAGTACCGTCCGCATGTACCTGAGGGGCCGACCTGTCGTCCTTTACGTTCCAACATCTTTGATGGAGTCGTACGACCTTCACAAAGTCAGCACACCGCCCCAGAACAAACTGAAACTCGACTGGGTGTACGGTTACCGAGGTAGAGATTGTCGAAGTAATCTGCATTTGCTGCCAACTGGGGAAATCGTTTATTTCGTCGCGGCCGTGGTCGTCTTGTACAACATGGAGGAGCATAATCAGAGGCATTATTTGGGTCATACGGACGATATCAAATGGTGGGTCAACTGAATTCATGCGAATTTGCCTGCGTTACATTAATATTAATAATCGTGCGTAATTAATAGCGGCAGTTTGAATTTTTTTTTTT